GTTTGGCTTGTAATTCAAATACGATGCAAAAAGGAAACTGTTCAATATATGGTTCCAGCTGGAATGAACAATCAAGCCATCAGGGCGAAACCAACTTCTGAGGGTGCTCGTCAAACAGATAACGAATACGAAAATCTCTCACTTCCAGATTCATATGGAAAAGCCAGTCAAGCACCATTGCCAATACATCTACCAATGTTACCAGTTCGACAAAATAACTGAAGTCAAAAAGAGAGTTAATGATTTGAAGTAACGAAAATTTTGATTGATGATTTACTCTATAAATATCTGATATAAATGAAAAGATATGCAATATCATTTTGTCAGTCTTTCATTTAAAATAGTGCAGAACAATAATAATTACAAAAAACATCTATAAATGTGTTTTTATTTGATTACTTCCAAAGAACTTTTGCTTTGCTGACAATTTGTTTTCATAAATTAAGAATGAATTTGGTTTTTAAATTGTCAGAAGACATTGGATTAAATTTGTTGAATTTTCTAACATTCAATGAAATCTGAATAAACATTTTAAGTCGTTTCTGAAAACCCCAATAACAATTCAATTATTATTCATACACATTTTGCGGGCCAACCCAAAATAAGTGCAATTTTGCAGCATTTATTTTGATTAAAATGGATATTCATTTAATGTCAACAAATAAAATAGAAAATTCTTTTCCAATTATTCAAAAAAAAAACTTTATATTGTGCCGGAAATAATAATGAAACTTTTCTTTCTACAGATATAAAGGAATAAATTGAGTGAATAATGTTTATGAAATTGAGAAAAATCGCGAAAAAAATACTTATAGGTTAAAAATGAAATGGAATGAGTCAACTCTTTGTTACTGTAGTTGAACATTGTGGCTTACCGAATCATTGCAAATGAGTATTGTGGTTTTTTTGCATTATACATTATCAACGTATAATTTCGTATAAGAAGAAGTCAGTCTGGAAAGCGACGTTATAATAAATTCGTGCTTTGTAAAAAACGGATGCAAATTTTATTCTTAAAATGAAACACGTTATTGCTTTTCTATTACTTACAATTTTTTTAGAGAAAACAAATAGTGTAGATTCGATTCCAAAATTAAGAAAAGATGAAACTCAAAAAATTATTACAGGTACAGTCACAGTCCCACATATAAATAAGGATACAAATTTCATTTTAAGCATCATTTCAGATTCATTCCCGGCTTCGGATACTAAAACAACAAAGGAACATGATCAATGTAAGTCGTTTCCCGTTTGGACATATTTCGTCATCGGCATTCAGACAGTTGTCATTGTTTTGCTGATTGTTTGGCTTGTAGTTCAAATACGATCCAAAAAGGGAACTATGCAACATGTGGTTCCAGTTGGAATGGACAATCATGTGGTCAAAATGAAGCAAACATCGGAGAATAATATTCAAAGCGATAATGATTACGAAGAAGTTATGATATCAAACAATGACTACATTGCTCCCCAATTTAATATTATGAATCGAGATCCAGATCCAAGGCTCGATCTCATACAGGAACTTAGACAAGCTGCGTTGCCAAGGTATTTACCGATGTTACCAATACATCAAAGAAACCAAAATAAGGAAAATCATTTGAAATGATGAACATTTAAAAGGAATTCAGATTCAATATATCTTATCAATGCTTGCCTTCGTAGTGTAAAATGTAAAATTGTTCAAAAATAAGCACCAAAATCAGTATCGATATATCATATAAATATATTAATCCAAAATGTCCAGTGAATTATTTCAAATAAAAAGTAGGAGTACTAAATAAGAATCTATGATATTTTCATAACTCTTATGACGAAAGCATTAAAAATTCAAAACGAAATAAAATTTGGACCTTTTGGTGATTCTCAGTCATATTTTGATCGATGAATAATTGTTTGAGTACAAAGCATGAGTAATAAATTCATTATAATATGTTGCGTATGATTCAATTCATACTGAAAGTTCCTTAGAGATAATTTTTTGTGGTTTTAGTTATATTGACGTAAGCGCGCAGTAATCATAGTATTTTTTTTATTCAGTCTTCCAAAGTGAGCTACAAAATCAGTCAAAGTAATTATGTGTGTTCAAAAGAACCTTCCAAAATGAAGTGTGCACGCATTTTTGGTTTGTTTTTAATTCTGTTTGACCAGAACAGCAACATAAATTCAGATAACTTTTCCAATACGAATTCAATTTGTATCTGCGTCACAGGCGATTTATCTGAAATTTGTTCAGAAAATTTTACGAATGGTACGAACATATTGGAATATAAAAGTTCCAACAAATTAGAAAATGTGACAATTTATTCTAAGAACAAATGTTGTGCGCTCCGTACATTCAATATATCATCTCTTTGCATCAGTGAATTTGTTATAAAAGACTACAATATTCTTGCTTCAGTTGATTTATTGAATTTTTCGAATAATAACATTCGATCTCTTGAAAATGTGAAATTTTCAGCATTTTATAACTTGGAAAGGTTGGACATGAGTGGCAATCAAATTGAATCGATGAAAAACAGCATTTTTGCTTATAATGGGAAATTGGATTTTCTGAATTTATGCAAATCATTGAGCAAGGTTTTCGATATGGACCAATTTTCGCTTAATGTAACTGTAAAAACGTTGAATTTATCGCAAAATCCCATATACAAAATAACTCGGAACATGTTCGCTGGGATGAGTAATTTAGAAAATCTAAAATTGAGCTACTCGAACATAGCTATCATTGAAGATGGAGCATTTGACAATCAAAAGAAATTGAAATCTCTTGATATTTCTCATAACTGGTTAAAGAAAGGCGATTTGAAATGCTTAGGAAATCTATTACCAAGAGTTCAATTAATTATTTCGGATGGAAATTTGGATGACAGTTCTTGCCCTTCTCCGGAGTGGACGTATATCGTTTTCGCCATTCTCTCCATCATTATAATCGTATTGTTGTGTGTTATTATTATTATTGCCCGAAAACTGAAAAAAGTTGATGGTAAAAATGAAGTCGGCATTAGGAATCAAATCACCGAAAATCAACAAGCGAAATCTCTTGAGAACGATTACGAAGAAGTCGTTATACCAAACAACGCGTATGATGATGTTCAATCAAACCGTACAACCATTAATCAATCTACGACCAGACCCAAGCTTTTTAAAGTGAAAGCGCCAAGATATTTACCAATGGCTCCAATTCGAAACCAATCCCAAATTATTCCCATTAAAGTAAGACCGGCACACTAAATTATAACATTCTGTGTGACATCATGTTGAAATTGTGTATTTTTAAAATTAACTATGATATCAATTAAAGAAAGAATAAATGGCATTTGATTTTGTAAACTCAATATTAAACAATTTATTTTTAGCATTTCTCAACTTACTGTTCTAACATATCAAAATTGTTGAAATAAAATTTGAATCTTAGTAAAGAACGAAAAAAGAAGGATTTTTATTTCTCAGTTGTCGGCAAATTTTAGTTACGCAATCCGATTTTACAATTGCTCATCTAAATTGATAAAACATTATTCAATGTTGAGTCCAAATGTGGTCATTTTAAGCATTTTTTTTCACTTTTTCTCCAGGTCATTTGTGTTGTTATTTCAGTTTCTTCAAACATGAATTGTTTTTCTACATTTCGGTTCTGAATTGCTCACCATTTTTGATAAAAAATATTGTTGTTGAAGATATTTGAATATTTGAGTCATTTCAAGTTCGTCATGTTCAACAACATGAACGTTCAAATATGACGTCATTAACTTACGAAATCAAGAATTGTTATCAATTATTTCTTCTTTTTTACTAAACTCGCTATTAGTGTGAAAGAAATTGTCACGAAGACACTTATCCACTGAAGAAATTTTTTAAAAAATCTACCGTTAAAAACTCAATATGAAGTTCACCATCATTTTATTATCAGTTTCGTTTTGTTTGACTTCTAATAACAAGTATTACGATTATAGTAACTGGTTCAAATGTTGTTTTTTATCTTACGAAAATTCTGAGTCAGTTGAGCAACAAAGTGCGCTGTAAATATAAAATATTCAGCAATGAATGCTCTAACGGCATCTGGTATACGGTATGATTTGGAAGTATAAGTAAATGTTTTCGTCATAAGGTTTACCCAAATGTTGGAAATGGCATTTGTCAGAAATTACATTTTAAACGTCATTCATGATTGAAGTCAGTGATCTTCCGATAGGGACAAAAGCAACTCTGAAAGGTTTTGGAATTGCTGAATATATTACCATTGCGCTTCACTGTGTTGCAGTTGGGCACTTTGGCATCCAACCTGATTTGATTTGTGAATAAAATTGTTCATCCCGATTAGACCTTTTAAAAGTGTTACAATGCCAGTGCTCAAAGGAAAACATTAAACATCAGTTCTTCAATTTCGATGTTTTAAAGAAGTTTCCAAATTTGATTGGAATCGATATATCTTTTTTCAAAGCCTGTCCCAAATTGGATGGTGTCGAGCAAAATGAAAACTGTAACCAATTGAATATTTTTTCCAATTTACCACAGCCACCAACTGAGGGCTATTATCATTATTAAGTCAATATTAAGTAGTAAGAACATTAGTAATTATTTAAAATAAAAGTGAACTCATAAAAATGAACCAAGAATGAAAAAATACAAAATAATTGTATTCATAAATTCTGAATCATAATTTTTTTCTGATATAGGTATATATTTTTTTCAAGTGAAACCGTTTATCAATTTGTTTACAAAAAACCATGTGATTCAACATTTCAAACCATGTGATTTGAACAAAAATGATATTAGTAAGCATTTTTATGTAAAAATAAGCATGATCTCACATCGAATACATTTCTTGAGGCTAAATATAGCAATTTAAATGAGCCATTGACGAATTTCTTTCAGAAAATATGAATAATTGCCTATTTTTTTAAAGAATACCAAAATATTCAAAATTCAAAATTCAAGAACTGCCAGAACAAATTAGCAATAGGCTTCAATATTTGATACATACACTTGAAACTTACACTTGAAACTTTTTCAACGCGACATAATGAAGCACGTCACAGTTTCTGTTCTTTTAGTTTTATTGGTTGATGCTCAATTTAGTGATAATTATTTTCCCGTCGAGTGTTATTCACAGGCAAATGATACGCTATACCTTCAATTCATTTGTACTACAGACCGAAGAGATCATTGTTTAAAACTACACCAATACGACGTTTCAAACGTGAAATCGATAAAATATTTGTGTAAAACTGAAAAGTTGAAGCTCTTTATGGACGTACTGAAACCATTTACAGATGCAGTTGTTTTGGATATATCGAATCTTGGAATCAATAGTGTCATGTTCGATAGCGCTACATCAAATTATGTTATTAAAGACCAGTTATTTTCGCAATTTAAACTCAGTGCTAAACAATTTAAAGCATCATACAATAACCTTAGTACAATTGAAGTTCAGATTTTAAGTAAAATGCCACAGATAGCTGACATTGATTATTCGCACAACCAAATTCTATACTTGAATTTCCATCAATTGGATAATCCAAGTCATGCTTTGAAAGTAAACTGTTCAAATAATAAAATAAAGTCTATTAATAAAGGAGATTTTTCAAAGCTTCAAATGCTCAAAACATTGGACCTAAGCTTCAATGACATTGAGTGGATTAATGCAGATGGATTCTTGAATATAAGCGAACTCACTGTTTTGAACTTGCAGAACAATCCAATAACACAGATCGATTCAAAAGATTATTTAACATATTTTTCATCACTTTACAATCTGCAAACTTTAGATCTGAGCAATTCTCATATTCAAACCATTAATGATCATACGTTTGCAAACAATCATAAATTGATAAATTTGAACTTGGGTAACAGTTTATTGAAGAATCTGAAAGCCACATTCATTTCATCACTGAATATGTTGGAAAAAATAGATATCAGCAACACTAAAATCGAAGAAATTGATGACGACTGTTTTATCAACAATCCAAATATGAAAATGTTAAACTTGGAAGGCACTTCAATGAATAAATTCAATTTCAATACATTTTCATCAAAAGCAAAATTGGTTGAAGTGCATCTTCCGAATAGAATCTTAGAATTGGATATAAGTTGTGCGAAGTCGATTTGTCATTTCAAACAGTTTGACGAAAAAGATTACTTCGAGAATATTCAAGCTTTCAATGTTTCGGGAAATCGAAAGCAAAATATATCGAAATTATTGAAAAAAATCGGACCGAACGTTGAAACTCTCGATCTATCACAGACAGATATTCGAACATTGAACGTAGGAATGCTGGAGGCATTCCCCAAATTACTACATCTTAATTTGAGCCATTCGAACATATCCAAAATTGAAGATGGTGCATTTATCAAACAGTCGCAGCTGATACAAACACTGAATTTAGTTGGCAACAAATTAAGCAAACTCGGCATGGTCAGTTCAAACAATTTACCAAAACTGAAATCACTTAAAATTTCGAAGAATTTGTTTGATTCTTCTTATTTATATAACAACTTAAACGAATGGAAGAAAAATGGTCTAGAGATTGATGTAGAACTTGTTCATCGTGCTACAACACAAAGAACAACGGCAAAAGCTATTTCAACAAGTAAAACTACAACAAAAACTGGACCTAAAACCACAACTACAGTCAAAACAACAACTATGGAAGCAACGACGCCTAAAATTTCAACTTCAGCTTCGAAACAATCTTCAACTACGACGGAATCAGCTCAAAGTGATATCAAAACAATAAATGAAACCACAACTGTTAATTCTACTTCAATTGCAAACCAAGTAACAACGACACAAAATTATGAATCTTCGAGTAAAAATACAAATTCAGAAGTGTACATCTACATTGGTGGCGTGTTTATCATCATCATAATAATAATTATTTTACTGGTCATTTGGTATATTTGTCGAAAAAAATCAACCGTTTACGAAGATCCCATGCAGCCCATGAAAACCTTACCTACGGCATATGCTGTTGGTCGTCTTTATAGCTCCGACATAGGCACAAACGTGACCACACTTCCAGCACAGAGAATTGGATGTACTGAAGAAATAAATGAGCCCACGCGACCCATGAGAACCCTGCCCACGGCGTATGCTGTTGGAATTCTTCATCAAATGCCAAATTATGAAAACTTACCAGCGCATACCACTACTTTAGATCGTTATTATCAATTTGAAAATAATTATAACGCTTCATTACAATCAAATGAATATGCAACCGTTTATCATCATTATGGTTTCTAAGCCGAAACCAAAATTTTTCCAAAAAGTTACGCGATGATGGTGTTGAGAACACCATATACATATATATGACCATCAAACCACCATAGCCCGAGAAGCTGTGGAAGTAAATACTATCGCCATAAGATTTATATCAAATTGTAGGTTATGAACAATATTCGAAAAAAAATTTGGTTCATTTTTTGTACATCACGATACCTACCTGTCAATAACAATAAAAAATATGCGTTTCTTTACTCTCAATTTGCATGACATCTTTTGTATTCTACTCAATTTAAGGAAAATTGTTCAAATGAAAATTCAGATATTTTGCAAAAAGTCACTTTGAAGTCACAGCCTGAGCTTGTTGTGAACAGAAATCACGAACTGACGTTCATACTAAATCTGTTTTTCAGCATTATACAGAGATGATTAACTTGAGAAACAAAGTGACACAAAACAAGTTACACTGCAACATGATTCGTCATGTTGCACATTGTTTCTCACATTTGTAACACTTTCTTTCTCTAGTTAGCATTGTTTCTCTTTGTTCGAAGCCAAAATCCATGTTCCGCTTCATTTATGTAGTATTCTGATGAATTAAAATTAAATTGGTTCATTGTATAATTACCTAAAAAGAAATTGACACTGGTTTGGCGCTAATTTGCTGCTCTCACACCATACTACACACAGTATGCTGAAGTGTACGAGCGCCAAACCAATGTCAATTTTTTTTTGGGTATTCTACACAAAAGTGTATTAAATTTATTAAATTAGTATTATTCATCGCAATCAGTTATGACCTTTTATGGAGAGCTTTAAGTTGGATTATTGCTATGTGAGCAGTGACTACAATCATGAAATCATTCGAAATTGAGTTGGCTCTTATAAGTGTATTATGCATCTCCCTGGCAGAAAATATTTTGAGAATGTCCCAACTCAATGAAGCAGTGGACTTGTCGGCACACGCGTAGATGT